GCTATTTGGCTAAAAATGTAGGTAAAAAAAACTTGTATGTTTGGGATGACTTTTTGGCTAATTACGAAAAGATGTGCAAAAAGTAGAGAGAAAAGAGAATCTTTGACTTTTTGGTATGGGTTGTTAGCTTTTTGGCTAATTTAGTAACTTTTTGGCTAATTGGCTAAAATAGCCTCTTGCCAAACGAGGCCTTAGTACATATATTGGATCATGTTTAAAAACTAAACAAACTCACAAAAATTATTTTGAACCTCAATAAATGTGACTTTCAAATAAAAATGTGTATCGATTTGGTTTCCAAAAGTTGTGCAAAAACTTTAAAAATTCACGTTTTTGGTTGACGCCACCGTTATGTTACGCTCATTACATCGCACCTGCATTAGTGCCACTGTTACAATTACCGTAGGCACCACCATTACTCAAAGCCTTGCTTGGAAGACTAAGGCCTCGTTTGGAAACCCTCATTTTTAGCCAAAAAGTCAAAAAGTAAGGCCTCGTTTGGCAAGAGGCTATTTTAGTCAATTAGCCAAAAAGTTACTAAATTAGCCAAAAAGCCAACAACCCATACCAAAAAGTCAAAGATTCTCTTTTCTCTCTACTTTTTGCACATCTTTTCGTAAAAAGCCAAAAAGTCATCCCAAACATACTAGTTTTTTTTAACTCATATTTTAGCCAAATAGGCAAAAAGTTACTAAATTAGCCTGTTCCCAAACGAGGCCTTAGCATCTTTTGTATCATTTTTCCAAACACAATAGAAAGAAGGCTGCCCCCCCCTCCCCTTTTCTGCAGAATCGAAAGCCCCTTCCCCTTTCTCTTGATTTGTTTTCCTTTTGCTCTTCAACACAAGCTAGGAAGCATGGATATGGATATGGATATGGAAATATGTCAAAACTTAAAAATGTATACAGGTACAGCGAGGATACGTTTGTAAAAAACAATATTACTATAATTTTTAATAATGTAGTATACATAAAAATAAAATCTAAACCTAAATCCAAAGCATATTCATAAAGCCTATGATGCACGGATATGGACACGGGACACGACACGAACATAGGAACACACATTTTTAAAAAATGGGGGACACAACATGCTAGGGACACATTTTATATATGTAATTTTATTTATTTATTATATGTCTAAAATAAAAAAAAAAAATTATTAATTTTTATACAATTACTAAAATTAATAAACATTTTATACAATAATAAAATTAATAAACATATTTTTTAATTTTTTTAATAAAAAATGAGTTTTTTTTTAAATAAAAATAATTTATTTTATGAATTTTAAGTTTAACAAAAATAAGGATAAAGAAATAAAAAAGAAATAAAAAAGAGGGGGAAGAAAATAAAGAAGAGAGAAATAGAGAGAGAGAGAGAGAGAGAGAGACGGGTGAATCAACAAAAGGGGGAAAAAAATAAAAAAGAGAAACAAAAGAGAGCAAAGTGAAATCAGAGAGAGAGGGAGAGAGAATAGGAGAAGACGAAGAAAAGGGAGGAGAAGAGGATGGAGACAGAAGACAAAGAGGAGGCGGAGAAGAAGAGAGCAGAGAATACCTCAGCTTCTTCAATTGATCTAAACAAGTTAAGGCTCCTCTCCTCTCCTCTCCTCCCTCGATCTCTTTCTCTGTTTCTCTCTCTTTCTTTGTCTCCTCTCCTCCCTCGATTTCTGTCTTCTCTCCTCTCTCGATTTGTTTCTCTGTCACTATTTCTCTCTCTTTCTCTTTCTCTTTCTCTTTCTCTTTCTTCTCTCCTCCCTCGATCTCTTTCTCTGTCTCTATTTCTCTTTCTCTGTCTCCTCTCCTCCCTCGATCTCTCTCTCTTTCTCTCCAACAGTTAGGGCTTCGATCCACCTCATGCGTGTCTGGAAAGTGTCACAGCGTGTCCATGGCGTGTTCGACTGGAAAAATTCAAAAAAAAAAAAGAGGACACGTTAGAGAGTGTCGGACACGTGTCCACCGCATGTCCGTGTCTAACACGTGTCCTTGTCCAACACTCGTACGCAGGCCCTGGGGACATGTCGGTGCTTCATAGCATAAAACATTTTTAGTACTATAAATTCGTTAATTAATCATTCATCCAATTGAAAAGTCCAATCCACACTTCTCCTTAAAACCCAGATATTAAGGAGAGGAAAAATGGAGCCTTTATAACCCGTACAAATGGGACAGCTCCAGGCGATGTGGGACACATTCCAATACACCAATACATGGTTAAAGTAAAAACAAATTGGTAAAAAAGAGAAATTCCTATTAAGCCAAGTCTTCGAACATTCATAAAGCATCTAGTACTAAATTCATTAATATTAAACATTCATTCATTGGCATGCCACTTTCACTTGTTGAACGAAAAATTCCCAAACCCGAACTGATTTTCCTAAAATTATAAATTTGGTAAAGAAACACAACATTAAATTTTATGCCTTCTACTGAAAGGAAATTTCCATCACAACAGCCAACCTCACTTAAGAAGGAAAATTTAATACAACATTAATATTTCAAGTATCATTTAGACTTCACTTAAAAAAAATAAAAAATAATGCAGAAAAACATGTCAAAACTCACTCTCTGTCAACATAAAATTGCAATAAAGAAAATATCCCAAGAAGATTGTTGTACAAAAAATTATAAACTTAAATGGTAAACCCAATATGTAACTCATTCTTTAAACCCAAATCAAAACAACACAACCACCACTGCGATTGAGATCAATAGAGAGAGAGAGAGATGACCTTATTGGTCGATTGAGAGTGAAAAGGAGCCTTCTTGTTGTTCGATCGAGATAGAGAGTGAGAAAGAGTCATATTGCTGGTAGATCGAGACTGAGAGGGTGAAAAGATTGTCGATCGAGTTCCTTGTCCAATATTTGCTTTGCCAATTGAAAATTTGAGGTTAGAGTTTTTTTTAGACATAGAAGGATGCTGAGAGTTGTCAATCGTTTGTTCTATTATTTTACATTTAGGTTTATTATTTTTACAATTTGACCCCAAAAAAGGTTTTAAATTTATTTTTTTGACCTTGTATCCCAGAAGTATCCAGCTACATAACCTACACATCCGAAATTCAAAAAAATTATTTTAAAAAAAAAAATCAGATACTCGTTTGTCGTATCCTGTGCGTATCCCTCCATATTGGACGCGTATCCGTATCCAATACTTGTACACGGGCTATTTTGGAGTATCCGTACTTCATAGATTACGACTCATTTGTTTATGTTTTATCATGTTAAAATTTCACTCACCTCAAATGTTAGTTCATTATGTTTGAGATATATATATATATATATTTTACTCCTAGGCTTCATTTGAAGGAGCCTTCTTGTTGTTCGATCGAGATAGAGAGCGCGAAAGAGTCATATTGCTGGTAGATCGAGACCGAGAGGGTGAAAAGATTGTCGATCGAGTTCCTTGTCCAATATTTGCTTTGCCAATTGAAAATTTGAGGTTAGAGTTTTTTTTAGACATAGAAGGATGCTGAGAGTTGTCAATCGTTTGTTCTATTATTTTACATTTAGGTTTATTATTTTTACAATTTGGCCCCAAAAAAGGTTTTAAATTTATTTTTTTGACCTTCTTGTATCCCAGAAGTATCCGGCTACATAACCTACACATTCGAAATTCAAAAAAATTATTTTAAAAAAAAAATCAGATACTCGTTTGTCGTATCCTGTGCGTATCCCTCCATATTGGACGCGTATCCGTATCCAATACTCATGCGCAGGCTATTTTGGAGTATCCGTACTTCATAGATTATGACTCATTTGTTTATGTTTTATCATGTTAAAATTTCACTCACCTCAAATGTTAGTTCATTATGTTTGATATATATATATATATATATTTTACTCCTAGGCTTCATTTGAATAGAAATAAATAAATAATGGCAAGTGAATGATAAAAAGTAAAAGAAAAAAAAAAAGGAAAGGAAAAGAAAATACATTTTCTCATATGAATTTGATTATGATGAAAAATTTTGCAAAAAAATAAGAATTCTAATTATAAATAACTACTTTTATAACAAATTTAAGCTTGCTTGTATTTTCTTGCGTTTTTTGCAAGAAACTGGAAGCTAAGTTACCATATTATTATGAGTTGTACAATAAAACTAACTTCATTGTAACTTCCACCACTTTCATACTAAACAAACTTAGAAAACATTTATTTTTTTCCATTTCTTTCATTTTCTACCATTTTCATCCTAACCAAATTGCGCTCCAAGGAAACCACAAGAAAACATATCAGGAAAAAAAAAAAAAAATCAATACCGCTTTGGATCACCAAATTCACCATTCTAGAATGTGAGTGCACCATGTGCGTTCCAAAACGTAATTTGCTAGGGTATCAGCATTTCCAGGTAACATTGGTTTTAAATTTTAATAGATCGACACCATATCTCCTTTTTCCATTTTCTTTATTAAAGCAAACCATATCTCCTCATTATTACTCCATCCTATGTCCCTACATTGGCATGCAACCTCTATTTATAAGCACTGGTCACCTTTGTTCTTTATTATTATTATTTTTTCGGGTATTCCCTTTTTTCAATTCCTTATCCTTCTAGTACAATTCATGACTCACACATCATCTCCTTTATACAAAAGAGAAAAACAAAACAAAAACACCAACAGTTTTAATTTGCATCATTCCCAAACACATAATGAGAATGTCTCATTGTGCCCATCTAATAAATTTACTGGTTTAAAAAATAAAAAAAATAAAAAAATGAGCTTGACTAACTATTTATCCCAGTAGCAACTGTCACCCAATACTTTATTACAAGCATATTTAGATGCTACAGCTATACATATAACCGAAATGGTATCTCCATTTAGAACATAGCTCTATTGAATCATCCACAAACACACAGGTTTCATATTAATAGTGAGGTTATAAGGCACGAAGGCAATGAATCCTACTGCACAAACACAATAAGCGAACCTTCTAAACAGCATATCAACAAACTACCAGCATCACATTTACAAAACTAAATAATAACTGACCTCTTCGAGCTGGTTTCACTCAGATGATTTGATACATGAATCAATTAGATTTCAACATTAATGGGATCCTATATTGCCTGCTGCAAATGAAAAACACCCAAGACATCAAACAATGAACATGTCCAGAAAAAATAAACGAATACATGGATTTATGAAAGCAAGAACAATCATAAAAACACCCAGATCAACAATGTAAAGATTATCTTAAATCAATTTGCATAATAATTTGAAAAAGAAAAACAAGAGGAACGCGCATATAATGATCAAACAATGTCAATCATAGAGCTATAAAAAATAAAATAAAATAAAAAAATTTATTATAACCGAAAACTTATAATAACATGCCAAACAAACCCATGGCTCAGAATAGGCAAATCTACACCAGAAACCACATATTCAAGTTGACAAATCCATAACCAATATCCTCAAAAGATAAAAACCCTAGAAAAATGAACAATTCTAACACAACGACCCAACCAAAGAATAAACAAAGCTTCACAAATCAATGCATACACTACCATTCGTGCAACAAACCGATCAGAAACCATAACGGCCTCAAATATCATTTCGGATAAACCCCCAGAATCGATCCAATCCACAATCTACACAAATATATATATATATATGTATGCATAACTACTTATATAGTATGAGGTAAGAGGAGATTACAAGGATCAGAGATCTGAACTGCTGATCATCGCCACCATATGCGAATCTAACGGCTGATATTTATCACAAACTGTCTTGATCATCTGAGTTATGTACAACTTTTCGTGTATACATATATATAATATACGATAATCGGGAAAGGAGATAGGGTTAACAAAAGGGGGGTTTTGGTCTAGGGTTTCACAAAATGGGGAGGGATGAGTTGAGGACGGAGAGGGGAGAGAAATGGGTTGTAGTAGAGAAAGAGATGCGGAGAGACAGAGGAAGATTTTCATACCTTGAGGCAAAATGTTCAGATGTAGCCGCAGAGAATGGAGATGGAAGAGTTTCCACTTCGAGGGAAGGTCTTTTAGCAGCGTCGCCGGAGGGCGAGACAACCGTCGGAGTCGCGTCGGATTAGCGTTGGGAGAAAAACGTTAGGAGGGAGAGAGAGAGACAGAGAGAGGGGAACGGATTGAGAAGGCTTAAATTCGAGGGAGAGACTATTGGTGTGTACCATATAATTACTAGAGGGTATCTAGAGGGTATGTAATTTTTTTTTTTTTTTTTTTGAAGAAAATTTTATGATGAGAAAAAAAAAAAAAAAAAGAATTTTATGAGGTGTTATCACTACGTTCGTAGGTTCAGGTTTTAGAGTAGTCGGTTGCTAAACTGATTTGATCTAACCCATAGGAAAGGACTTACCACTAGCCTGATTTAACTTAATCCATAGGAAGGGACCTACTACCGAGACACTAGTGGAGCTCATCAACCGTCCCAGCCACGGACAAGTTTCGATCGGAGTACAGCGCGAGATCTCCGAAGAGAGCCCCTGGAAAATCTAGGATTTTTCGCGCCCCCAGGAGTCGAACTTGACTCGTGACTGTAGGAAGGTAATGCCTTCACCACTGGGCCACCATCCTCGGTGGTTAGTGGGTATCTAATTTAGATATGAAAATTTTAAATCTTAATATTTTATTTTTAGAAAATTTTAATAATGGAAATTTAAATATAAATATATTTGTTAATGATTTGATGAAATTTTTTTATATTATGTGTATGATCTTTTGTAAAAGGTTTAAAAAATATTCAAATTTAAAAAAAAAAATGTGTGTTCTTAGCTTAAATCAAATTCTTATTTATGTTAATTAAATTTATCAAAAATCATGAATTCTACTTGTATTAAAATATTTTTTAAAAAAAATAACGAAAAATTCTATAATATATAAATTATGACTTATTTATAATTCTTGGATTATTATTTTGGTTATTAATCGAACAGTTTTTTGCTAAATTCTTATGTTTTTCTGTTATATCTAAAGCGGTGCATCTAGTTTTAAATTATATTTCAAATGGTGTTTGATTATGATTTATTATGATACTTTTATATGACAACATTTAAGTAAGGACAAATTACATATACTCCCTCGAGTTTTAGCAAAATTACAATGACCCCCTGAAGTTTGAGAAATTACAGATACCCCCTGAAGGTACTATTTGCATAACAAATTAGAGGACAAATTGTTATGAAAATATAAACCTCAGGGGATATTTGTAATTTTTGAAACCTCAATGGAATATCTGTAATTTAGCTATACCTCGAGGGAGGTATATGTAATTTGCCCTTAAGTATTTTATTACATGAAAAAAGTGCTTAAAGTGGGTTAGCTCAAAAGTAAGATTTATGTTTATCTACTATCTACTACTATTATAAAAGTATAAAGAATTGTCATTTTTTTATTTTTTTACATATCCCAAAAATACTCTTCCAAACTTGTTAAATATCAATAAAACTACAAACAGTCACAGACATCTTTTGAAATTTAAACACCTTCAAACATTACAATTTACTATCAATCAAACACATTGACCAGTTAAATAACAATAGGCATGAAACTAGAGTTAGATTATGCATCTTACTTCTAAAACTTATTGATCAATTCATGACTTGGTCATTAATTTGCATCAGGTTCGGGTATGTATTGTTGTATTGTTCTTTCTTATTTCTTCCTCAAACCCTCATCTTTTTGTTTTTTCTTTTTTTTTAAATTATTTATACATTGTTTGGTTTTGATCATACAATGATATATATATATATATATATATCATATTTGTAGTGACTCAATTTTTTTTTTAAATAGCCAGTGTATAATTTCATTGAGTAAATTTACGAATTTAAGTGCTGTGTAAATTCTGTGCGAAAACAGTTTGATTTTGTATTTTTTTTAAAATAGTTCCCGATCTCAGAAAATTATGAAATTTTTATATGTTGTTCTCATATAAGTCTAGCATGTTGAATAAAAATTTTAAAATTAAATGATGAGTATTTATTTTATGAAAATTCACGGATTGATTGGTGTTCAATTTAATTTATAACATAATTTTGTTATTTAATTTTTAATGTTTAGATCATGATTTAGATAGATTTGCTGGGTCTACTTTGATATGTAATTGGGCGATATTTGGCTTATGGGTGCGAATTTAATTCAAAACCCATGATTTAGATTTAATTTAATTTGAGTTTATTTAATTACTCATATTTAACTATTTGGTCCTTTTTTATTATGTGATTGATAGTAACCACAGTGGGAGTTATTAGTTGATTTTATGGTGCATATGGTGAAAAATTATATATTTTTGTAGTGAATAAAATGTGTATATATTTCGTGGTGAGAAAAATATTATATTTTATAGTGTACAAAAATATTATATTTTGTGATGAAAAAAATTATATCATTTTATAATTTATATTATAAATTATGAGATATTATTACAAAAATTATATATATATATATACATATATATTTTGAGAGACAAACCCATGTGGGCCCCATTTTGTTTCCTTGCCATCATTTCTTCTTCCTTTCCATTTCATTTGATTTGTTTGGCTTGAGTTGGTTGATCCTCTTGCATCTCTGTCACTTTCTGTCCGTCTCCCTCTCTCTCTTTCTCTTTTCGCCATTTTTGCTCATGCTTTGAGCTTCAAATCCTTAGAGTGAGATTTTGCAAAAACTTTGTAAATGAAAGTCGGAGAGCTCGTCGTGATCTTCGCAATGGTAGTCTCAGATTCATGATTGGACAAGATGGGCCTTCTAGATCTGCTTTTCTTCATTATTTAAGATAAGGACTTTCTTCATATTTTTACATTAAAGCTATGTTAGGGTTATTTTGAGAAAATATATTATTATAAGAGGTATTGCATATATATATATTATTTTTAATATTTTTGTTAGGTAATTTTTGGAAGAATAATTATGTTGGAATGTTAAGAAAAGTAGTATTTTGAGGTTGATTTGGGAAGACCACATTGTGTTGAAATTTTGTTGCTAAAAATCTAAAAATTTAATTTTAATAGTTGTATAGATTGTATCTACATCATATTATGATTAGATGATTTATTTTAGGAAATATTAAGTTGAAATATTTTTTTTATCTTTGATTTGGAATTTATTTTTGAGAAAATTAAATTTATGTTGATGAATATTGAGTAAATACTTAAGTTGGGATTATAGAGTTGTTTTGGGATTAAAAACTCTAAAAGTGTTATATTCATGATATTTTATAAAAGATGATATGTTGATAATTCAGTTGTGTTTATTTTTATGAAAATAAAAATGTGAAATATGGACTTTCAAACTCATAACCTTAAAAATGTTATTATTGGGCATATTTCATAATTTTTGATGTAAATATCATGCTGGTTAAGTTATTTTAGAAAAAAGTTGTAAAATTGTTATTGGTAGAGAATTTGGTAAAAATATTACCTCTTATTTAGCTTGGCATAAAAAATGGTTATGCTGAAATATAGTTATATATATATATATATATATATATTTGTGCAAGATTTAGATGATTTTCGAAATCATTCTTTAATTTGTTTTGAAAATTGATTGTTGATTCAAGAAGATGAGAATTTTTTTTTTAAAAGTGGGTTTACTTTCTTGTTCCTTTTAAAATAGAAATTGAGAGATTTTGAATTATGAGAATTGAAGAGAGATATTTTTGGTGACTTTCTTTCAATAAATGAAGATGAGTGGTTTTGGTAAGAAAACCTAAAAAATAGGAGTTTTTAAGAAAGATGTTGACAAACTTTGAAGATGTTGTTATATTTATTTTGTGTGCCAAAATAAATGATGTTTGAAAAATTGTTTATTTGTTTACATATAAATGATGGTTGTCATGGAACATGAGAATTGTTGAAGTTTTGGAAATTGTTGTTCAAAATGTTGATATAGTCTTAAAGTGACTAAATGGTTGAGATTACTCTAAGTGTGAGAATTATGTTGTCCCATGGATGAATTGGAATAAAAATATTTATATTCATCTTGAGAAATTATATTGAAATGAGAATTTTGATCACAATGGGAATATTATGTGGAAGCATTGAAAGTGGAAGAAATATTACATTGTATTATTAATCATTGCATTGGCATATCAATTCATTTGATAATGATGCGCTTTGAAATTTTGATTTGAAAACTTTGCATTGAGAAAGGAATATTGGGAAACAAGTTTTCATGAAATGATTTTGGGATAAATACGGTGGCAAGTCTTGAAAGTTGGTATAGATGATAGGTGTCGAGCCTTCCAGTTAATACTGGTAAATATGACAAATCGGTAGTACCTGTATAGTCTACTTGCAGACACCGGCCTAGGGATTACCTGAGTCGTATTTACCATCTTGGAATTTTATTGAAATTGTTGGATTAATGTGTTTTCAAAATGGCATTGTGCGTAAGATTTTTAAAAGATGAGGAAAATATTTTGAGCATGATATGGCATATGCATTCATCTTATAACGCCATATAAAATGGATTTAATGAATTGTTTAATTATTTGATTCAATTGATAATGAGATAATTGAATGAATTGAAAAGGATGTCCTGTTGCTATTGAAATATGTTTATTTATTTAAGTTAACTTGTTGTGGTTAATTAAACAAATTAGATTTAAGAGATTATATAATAAAATCATATAGTTTTGACATGATATGATTTCACGTATATGTATGAGTATTTTGGTACCCACATAACTTCTAATGTTTTAATATGAGATTACTTTGTGAGTTAGTGGTTGCTCACCCCCCGCCTGTACATGTGTACAGGGAATGCTTTTCAGATTTGAAGATCAAGCAATGGGTTTTACCATTTCATAAGTGTAATGTAGTGATGGATTGTATTACTTCATTTGTTTTTTGGCTATTTTTTTTGTAAAGAGTAGTGTCCTCTCTTTGATTTTAAGCTGCATGACATTTCTTTTATTTGTGTGCAAATGTCATTGTGGTATAACGAGAGGGAATATGCATATTTAATTATTCATCATTTTCATCCAAGGATGAAATATTTTTTGTAAATGGACTTAATTAATGAATATTGATAAGGTTATCCGAATAATAAAATACGGGGCGTTACAATATTATTGTAAAACAATTGATTTTATCTAATTTACCAGAACAATGCAAGTAAATTTTATATTATTACTAGCGGTGGGTGTAAG